GATTTATATATGGGAAGTCCTGTTTTGGTCACCAGAAAAGTTTCGGGTTTTTTCGGTAACGTACCGGGACCACCGGGAGGGTCCCGGGGGTCCACCAAGTGGGGCTACCAACCCCGAAGGGCTGCATGGGCCAAGTGTGGGAGGGGACCAGCCCCAGGTGGGCTGGTGCGCCCCCCCCCCACAGGGCCCAAGGCGCATGGAAGTGGGGAAGGGGGGCAAACCCTAGGGCAGATGGGCCCTAAGGCCCACCCTAGGTGCGCCTCCCCCCTCTCCCCTTCTGGCCGCAACCCAGATGGGATCTGGGGGCTGCCGCCACCCCTGGGGAGGGAACCCTAGAGGGGGTGCAGCCCCCTCCCCTCCCCCTATAAATACTTGAGGTCTGGGGGCTGCCCAACACACGAGAACCTCTTCCCATTGGCGCAGCCCTACCTCTCTTACTCCTCCTCTCCCGCGGTGCTTGGCGAAGCCCTGCAGGATTGCCACGCTCCTTCACCACCACCACGCCGTTGTGCTGCTGCTGGACGGAGTCTTCCTCAACCTCTCCCTCTCTTCTTGCTGGATCAAGGCATGGGAGACGTCACCGGGTTGTACGTGTGTTGAACGCGGAGGTGACGTCCGTTCGGCACTAGGATCTCCGGTGATTTGGATCACGACGAGTACGACTCCTTCTACCCCGTTCTCTTGAACGCTTCCGCTTAGCGATCTACAAGGGTATGTAGATGCACTCTCCTTTCCCTCGTTGCTGGTTTCTCCATAGATAGATCTTGGTGATTCGTAGGAAAATTTTGAATTTCTGCTACGTTCCCCAACATCTAGTTGGTACAACTTACCATTATATGTTAGACGGGTGCCAAAATTTGTCAGCAAGGCAGGAAAGCATCATACATTCACCAAGAAAATGGAGGATCCAGTTCTCGCTTGCTCTGATGCATACATTTATCAGAAGTTCAGAACATCCGCAATACCCTAATTAAGAATTTCTAGGTAATTTGCTGATAGCATAAGCAAAGCAATTGACATAATCAAAAGAAGGGGAGATCACTACTAGCTCTCCCAAGAATTGAGACCGAAACTGAAACTCTTCTGACAGCAATCATAGAACCTACTAAAAATCCTTACAAAACAAACCACGTAATTAAACAGCAAGAACATTCGTGGCCCATAGAGCAGGCAAAGATTATGGAGGATCCATGGCCAACAGGAAGTGGTGTCAGTCCACAGGTAACAGTTACGATGATGCTGTACCAAGGTCATTGTTGAGAAGGAAACACATGCCAGTATCTTTACTTTCATGAACCCAATACATAATAATTATGATAGTGAAGGTCACAAACTGAAGAGGCAAACTATCATATTGCAACGATATCATACTGAAAAACACTACATAGAACCAATAAGGTTGATATAGTATTATCTATGTCATGCAACATGTAATTTGTGAGCATTCTTCAGATAAGCATCTTGATAAGTTTATGTATTTGGTCAAGGGCTGGCTCCTTCACGACTACAAAATTTAAATCCATGTAGTATTCTGCGATAATTGATTTAAAGCTTAAAAGACATATTTTGTCACCATCTCATAAACCGAATCTGTAGATCATAGAAGAGATACAGGATATGTTTACCTTTTCAAGTCTTATGCCAAGAAGTTCCAAATTATGACTTAATGCTCGACTCCAACTGCACATTTTTGCATGGGTCGTCCTGCCAATTTTATATTAACAAAAAGTGTCTCTTTAATCTTCTGCGTGGTTAGGATTCAAACTGGATACATGTGGAACATCTCGCAATACTTCAGTTCACATGTGTAGGTTCGGCTGAGAGGATTCAAACTGAATATGTGAACTGTAATGGTGTTGAGAGGGTCTACCGTACAGATACTCTTGAATTCGAATCAAGATCAGGGGGTGGGTCGCATGGGGGTATGACAAGAACCGCAAGCTGCGGTGCCACTGCGTGGAGGAGATGTGTAGGATGATGGCTGAGGGTATGGAAGTCGCAAACAGCGTCTCCGGTGAGCTGTGAGACGAAGCGCAAAACGGGAGAGAAGTAGATGTTGTCGTTGTCACCGCCCGCCACCACCTACACTCCTCCTGCCTCGTCCTCGCCTCCCCCGTTACCAAGATCTTCGCCCCACCATGCAGCGCCATCACCCGCCTATTCTCTTCGGGGATCATCTACAAAGGATCTATAAATAAAGAAGTCTGATGTAGAATAAATTCGAAGTTGCACATGAAGGAATCTATCTTACAACCATTCAAGCCCCTCGAAGTGAAGCACGCCCTGAGCCCCTCCCAGCCCCTCCCAACCGAGAGGCCCCAATTGAAATTGATTAGATGTCTGTACGTACCTCCAACTGGTCGCTCGACGCGATGGATCTGGCGACAGCGCACCCGAGGACTCCAGATATGGCTTGAAAAACCGGACACATGCTTCAAGAATGTAGTGCGCCACTGATTTGGGGTTGGAGCTCGTCGCCAGCTCGGGAAGAAGATGCTCCCTGCTGCGACTTTAGGGAATACATGAGGAGGACAGCGGTGGGTAAGCGAAGAAGGAGGCGCCGCTCTGACAGGGCGGTTGAGGGGCTGCGAGATGAACACCATGGCGGCGGCAGCACACCTAGGGCTGGCGAAGGTAGGTCGTGCGCGAGAGTGATAGATACGAAAGGAGCGTCGTGTTTTTTGTTTTTTGAGAAACATGAGCGTCGTGGGGTGTGGGCGGCTGCACGGAGTAGACCTGTAGAAGCTCGTTAGGCCCAATTGCACGCCAGGCATCCAAAATAGTCACCGGAGCAGCGGCCCAGCAAGGAAACGCTCGATTTTAGCGAACGCAACCATTCCAGGCGGGATTAAGAGTAAATCTAACGGCCAAAAACGTCCTGAACTAATGATCTAAAGGCTAAAAATGCTAATAGTCTGAGAGGGCTGGAAAGGTGCTCAGTTTTAATATATCTAAATATATATATGTATATCTGTGTGTGAATCCAGTGAAATTAAATGGATATAAATAAAAATAGGGGATATATGTCCTCTTTGCCGTCTGCTAGCGGACGACAAAGAGCTTTGCCGACTGCTAGCAGACGACAAAGAGGACATGTGGCAGCTACCTGTAGAAACTGGGAACACTGGCTGCATATTTGGACAGTTTGCCGTCCGCTGGCGGACGACAAAGACCTTTGAATTTTTGCCGTCTGCTGGCAGACGGCATAGCTGGCCACGCGGCAGCTTCCCAGTGCTGGCCTAACTGAGCTCTTTGTTGTCCGTCAGCAGACGACAAAGAGCTTCGACTCAGTGCCGTCCGCTGGCGGACGAAAAAGAGCGCCGTTAACCCCCTAATGGCTCTGACGCCACCCCACCGCCGTCCGTTGTCTTTGCCGTCTGCTGGCCTCAGATGGCGGATGGCACAATCTTTTGCCGTCCGTTTCTAGGAAGCGGACGGCAAAGAAGGCCTTTGCTGGCACCTGTTCAGACGGACAGTTTGCCGTCTACTGACAGACGGCAAAGAAGTTTGCCGTCCGGGATCTACGCCTTTGCCGTCTGCCATGGCGGACGGCAAAGAAGCTGATTTCAGTAGTGGCTTTTGGTGCGGTTTTGGGTGGGATGGGGTGTCGGAGTCCTACATGACGGAGGTCCGGACTCAAGCAATGCCCCTGGTTTGTTTCCATTTTGTGGGAAAATGGACGCATAGACACATCCATGGACGTATGTAGGACGACATTGGATTGCAAACAACGTCCAAACTGCTCGGTCCAAACATTTGCGGGCGATTTGAGGGTCAGCGTTGGAGATGCCCTGAAGCACTCACTGACTAGGTAAGTCCGTCACAAGGGCATGTACAATGATGCCATGTTAGGAGAGCCATGTAGGATATTTGATGAGGTGAAGAAAAAAGAAATCAGAAGCAAATACTTGCTTTCTGTTAATTATGAGATAATCTTGAAGCATCAGTATGCCTCATCACGCTTGTGTGTGAAAAATCTAGTTATTGGAGATAAGATTGAGAAATAACATTATACATCATGTTTTCATTACAGATTTAAGATAAGATGGTCTTGTAAAACACAACGTGCCCCAAGTTTATCTTCATGTGATGCTCTGGACGGACTTACTCCTTCGTCTCTTCTCCAAGCGAACACGCCAACTACGGTTTTTGCATCGTCTCCTATGGCCTTAGTTATGGGGGCGTGATGGATTCTAGCCTTGCCAGCCGGAGGGCGCAGTTTTTATATTTTTTTTAAGTTTTGATAGATTTTGTGTCCTCTTAGAAAGACGAGATGGCCACGGATCTCTGAAGATGGAATAAGTTTTTCACCACCTAGCCCCTGTCTCGGTTATGTGTCTAGTATCATTGGAGGGTGTGCCTCCGGCAGATCTCGAAGATTTGGTTGGTGGTTGTCTTCGGCAGTGTATCTTCAGGTTAGATCCTTCTGACCTATGCTTCCCATCAGTGATGGTTGCTATTCTAGTGCGTTGGTCCTATAAATACAACAAGTTTTGCCCTGCTTCATTGATGCAGGGTTGATGAAGACGGCATTCCTTCAGCTCTCCAGTTTTGTAGTCATCATTAGATGGTCTATAAATCTAGTTTTATTTTATTATTTCATCCGTTTCATAATTTATGAGTGTTTTATTATTTTTCGAGAGTACGCTAAATGCGTACCATATTAAGAGCGTTTTATTATCTCGAATCAATAATGAATAGATCAAAAGTTCCTTTTAAAAAAGTTTATCTCCACGTGATCAGACCACGTAAGCATGGCCAAGCGCACGTGTCCGTGCCTCCACGACCCACACCCGCCGGGCCAGCCTCCAACAAATCGCACCGTTCAACCAGGACCGCTCGCTCCTCTCACCCACCCCAGAGTCCCACACCCAGGCCACGCGGAACGGCCACGCACGCCGCCCTACCACAACGCGCGGGTCGACACGCCCGCACAGGATTGACCCGGACGGAGAGAGGGACAGAAAAAAAAAGGGCGCCGCACGCAGCACGCAGGCGCCATGCCCCCTCAGTTGCGCTTCCCCACCGTCCTCCCCAACCTATACCCCCACCTCCTCCTCCCCCGCTCCCTCCCCTCTCGCCGTCTCCGCCTGCCGCCGCCCCCGACCCCGCGCCACCCGCTCCGCCGCCTGCTCTTCCGAGGCATGGCCTCCTCCGCCACCGGCGAGGCGGCGCCGGCCGCCGGGACGAGTGGCGCCGGAGAGGCCTCCACCCGCCCGCGGCGCGCGCTGGAGGAGCTCGCGTGGGACGAGACCTTCGTCCGCGAGCTGCCCGGCGACCCGCGATCCGACAACATCCCCCGCCAGGTTCGCCCCCATCCCTCGCTCCCAGCTTACTTGCCTTCTTTGCTCCTAGCTTTGCCGCACGGTTGGCGTAGCACCTAGGTTAATTTCTTGCCAAGCATTTAACCGCGAAGTTTTGGTGTCGCAGGTGCTGCACGCTTGTTACACCAAGGTATCTCCCTCGGCGCCCGTGGAGAACCCTAAGCTCGTGGCGTGGTCCGAATCCGTAGCTGACCTCCTCGATCTGGATCACAAAGAGTGAGTTAACACATCGCAGTTACTCACTAGCTTTCTGGCTATGATTTCCATCGCTCTTGAGAGCATTGTGGCACCTCCCTTTTGTTTAGCGGTAACTGGTTATTAAGATGTGCATGAAGATAAAGTTACAAATGGGTGTGATTTGTGTTGAAATTATGAGCTCACGCTACTCTTGGTAGATCACAACCTACATATGATCCAGTGAGCAGTAATTTCTGTGCACTAAAGGCTACCACACCAGACCGACTAATAAGATTGTCTACTAACTCCTGTGCACTAAAGGTGATAGTTTCGATAGGAATTTGTAAACATAAGAGTTAATTCCTATCCAGAATTAGCATACCCGAATTTCCCAAAGGGTATCATGCAGAAGATCTTTATTATTTACGATTTATGAAGCAAAAGGTGGACTTGCTACTTAAGTCAAAGAGCCTTTTTCATTTATTCAGACATATATTCACCCCCACCCCCTGTATTTTTTCTCAAAGTTCACCACTAGGAAATTTCTTGGAAACAAAATAGTTATCGATCAGATATTTACCAAAATTTCCCAAAGGGTAACATGTAAAAGATCTGTATTGTTTACAATTTATGAAGCAAATGGTGGACTTGCTACTTAAGTCAAAGGGCTGTATCCATTCATTTACACATATATTAACTCCACCCCTACCCCCCTGTTTCTTTTTCGAATTTCGTCACTATTTCTGGGGAACAAAATGGTTATCGACTCAGACACCAGATCATTAACTAGTAGTTGAACAGAGCCATATATGTTGTGAAAGGATCCAGCTGTTCGCCTGAATGAAAGGCATATAAAAAACTTTGGGTAGTTCCAAGGTTTTCGAGTCGATGAGTCAACGAGTCGTTCTGGGGTAGCGACTCTTGACGAGTCGTGCCTGGCTGGTTGACTAGTCTCGAGGTTGAGTCAAAATCTGGCAGTGTGACTCATCGACTAGCCGACGACATTGTTTAATTATGTGATATTTGATGGTTGGGCTACAGAACAGCCATAGGCCCATAGTAGAAGCAGAAAATTCCATATTCACGGAAACGGGAAGTTCCATATTCATGCATGTTCCACCAGGAAACGCCGTTCCATTTTTGTTTCCGTTTCCGCATAAAAATTTCAGTTTCCATTTCCGTTTTGCGAATTTCCATTTTCGTTTCCATATTTCCTCTCCGTTTCCATTTTTCTGCTGGAAAAGCGGAAAGCTATGTTTTCATCCCTACGTGCATAGCACTTGACTGATTTTTGTGTATGTGCAGCTTCTCGTGCATGTAGCTCTCTCGGCCAAAACTCCCCACGAGAACTCGCGATCAGCTAAAACGTATTACAGATTGGGAGACTATATAATAGCCAAATGCACGTGTAGTACCTTTTAAGTTTCTCTCTCAATTTTTGCTGATGTACAAGAAGCAACTTCCTTCGGTGCTTATACACACGTTCATGCATGACCTGGGAGTTGACTAGGACTAGGAAACCTAATTCTTTTACTCCTTCTGACTTTAAAAAAGAAGGCTTATAAAGTCAAACGGTGTAAAATTTGACCAAATTTATATAAAAAACTATCAACAACTATAACCCAATTGGTATCATTAAATGCGTAATAAAATATATTTTCATATTATCTCTACTCCTATAAAAGACCCAGTTGGTGATGATGGTGTGTCTGCCACCCGTCATTTCTGACCATTAGATCTGCATCTAACAACTGTGAGGTAAGTTGTGGCCTTTTTGCAACAATAGCCCACTTCTCCGCTCCAATTTGCAGAAACCCCCTTAGTATCTTGAAACCAACCACATCCCTCCCTCACCTCATCAAAACAGCCCGAGGAATATATCTTGAGTGAAACATAATACTATATTTTTAGTAATATATGTATATCAAAACTAGAGTGTTTTCTTTCAAGTTTGTGAACAAATATTATTCTACTTTGAATCCGTTGCAACGCACGGACACATTGCTAGTACTTACCAAAATATGTAGTTACTGATAGTTTTTCCTACAAGCTTTTTCAAAATTTGCACTGTTTGCTTTAGACAAAATTATGTACCTTCTTCTTAGAGTCGGGGGAGTAGGACTTATCCCTAATTCTAATCATATATTCCTATACGAACTCTAGCACTAAGCATTCAAGTCTCATGCTCATCTCTTATTTTCCCAAATTCAACGTCATCTCACCATGACTCACCTCAATGGAAATTTGGCCCCCTCTTGATTGCTTGTCACACAGCGACGTTCCGCCACTGGTTAGTTCATCATTAATTTCAAGAGTGTATATTAGGCGACTAATTTTCTGAATAGATAATAAGAAAAATATATATAGTGGATGTAAATACTTCAAACACCAGCCCAAACTGTTTGGAGCTAGTACAAAAGTACACAGTACACAATCAAAGATGGCAGATAGTTAAAAATATCTATAATACTGTTCAGAGAGAATGAAAATTCCAATCAGGCATATACATGTATATTCATATAAAATTGAAGCCACATGCCAAAAAAATAATTGAATCCTAGTTCCGTGGGGAATTACCACATTAAACAAGAGCTCTTTTTTTGCAGACATAGAGCTTTATTAAACAAGAGCTCTTGCATGGAAGCATCAATGCGACCTTCGTATTTATGACCTTCGTATTTATACCTATATGTTATGTACACGCCGCCCAGCATGCATGCAGACCGTGCGGTGCAGCATGGTATTACGTATAGTATATAAAATGTACATATGACAAATGAATTGGTTTGGTGCAGTGGTTGGCTAGCTTGTACGACCAGGGCGAGGGCGTGGTTCGAATCCTGTCTGCCCCTAATTTTTTCTTCGAATTCTTCTCGGTGTGTACTGACAGCTGGGCCCTCGGTAGCCCGTGCATAAATTCCGGACACAGCAGGGTGT